TCCAACAAATTCCATTGGAGTTTGATAGGCATTGTGTTTAATCTGTAGATCACTTTGGGTAGCATGGACATTTTAGCAACATTGAGTCTTCCAATCCATGAGCATGAGATGCCATTTCATTTATTTGTGCCTTTCTTTGACTGCTCTTAGCAATATTTTGTAGTTTTCACTGTAAAAATGTTTCACTTACTTGGTTACGTTTATTCCTAAGTATTTCATCCTTTTTGATGCTATAATAAATGGAATTTTTTCTTAATTTTCTTATTAGATTGGTCATCACTAATTTATAGAAATGCAATGGATTTTATGTATTGCTTTTGTATCCTGCAAATTTTCTGACATCATTTATTAGTTATAATAGTTTTTATTGCATATGGAATCTTTAGGGTTTTCTACATATAAGATCATGTCATCTGTGAATAGAGACAATTTTACTTCTTCTTTTCCAATTTAGATTTTTGTTACTTCTCCTTCTTGTCTAATTTTTCTAGCTAGGAATTCCAGTACTTCAACAATAGTAATGATGAGGGTGGGCATCTTTTCCTTATAATGTGCATCCATTAACATAAATCTATAATTATTTGTTACTTTTGTTTTTAAAATTTATACCATATTTAAAAGTGATTTACACACTTACATTACAATACTACGCAATTATATATTTATCCATATATTTACTTTTACCAGAAGGTTTATATTTTTGTATGGTTTTTTGTTGCTATTTTATCATCCTTTTTCTTCAACTCAAAGAATCTTCAGCATTTCTTGTGGGGCAGATTGATTGGTGATCAGCTTCCTCTCCTTTTGTTTGTCTGGAAGGTCTTAATTTCTCCTTCATTTTAGAATATATATTAGTTTTACAAAATATAATGTTCTTGGTGGGGAGGTTTTGTTCTTCAGCAATTGAATATATTATCGCACTCCTTTCTAGCATGCAAGGTTTTGCTGAGAAACCAACTGATAGTTTAATAGAAGCTCCCTTGAATGTGATGAGTCATTTCTTCTTGCTACTTTCAAGATTCTGTCTTTGTGACTTTTGACAGTTTGATTTTGATGGGTCTCAGTGTAGGTCTCTTTAGATTTATTCTAAATGAACTTATTTGTTTATTGAATTTGTTTGTCCTTTTCTCTCATCAGATTTGGAGAGTTTTCAGCCACCATTTCTTCAAATAAGCTTTCTACTCATTTTTCTCTTCTCCTTTTGTGATTTCCATCATACATATGTTGTTCTCCTTGCTGGTGCCCCATAAATCCCTTAGTTTTCTTAATTTTTCCTCATTTTTTTGTTGTATTTTTCTTCTTTTTCTCAATAATTTCAAAGCCATCTCTTACAGTTTACTAATTATTTTGTCTGCCTGGTCAATTCTGCTATTGAATCCCTCCAGTGAATTTCTCCAGTTCAATTATTAGATAATTAAGTTCCAGAATTTCTGTTTGATTCTTCATAATCGTTTTATTTATTTGTTGATACTCTCATTTTGTTTATATCTTGGTTTCCTAATTTTGTTTAGTTTCCTATTTATGTTCTTTTTTGATTCTTCAACTATTCTGGTGATGCCTATTTTGAGTTTTTGTCTGGTAATTAATTTTTCTCTATGTCTTTAGGGGTGCTTTCTAGAGGTGTAAATTATTCCTTTGAATAGTCCACATTCGTTTGTTTCTTCATATGCCTATTTATTATACTTTAAGTTCTGGGATACATGTGCAGAATGTGCAGGTTTTTTACATAGGTGTGCACATGCCGTGGCGGTTTGCTGCACCCATCAACCCAGCATCTACATTAGGTGTTTCTTCTAATGCTATCCCTCCCCTAACCTCCCAGCCCTCAACAGGCCCTGGTGTGTGATGATAACCATTCCCTGTGTCCATATATTCTCATTGTTCAACTCCTACTTATGAGTGAGAACATGCGGTGTTTGGTTTTCTGTTCTTGTGTTAGTTTGCTGAGAATGGTTTCCAGCTTCTTCCATGTCCCTGCAAAGGACATGAGCTCATACTTTTTATGGCTGCATAGTATTTCATGGTGTATATGTGCCATATTTTGTTTATCCAGTCTATCATTGATAGGCATTTGGGTTGGTTCCAAGTCTTTGCTTTTGTGAACAGTGCCACAATAAACATATGTGTGTATGTGTCTTTATAGTAGAATGATTTATAATCATTTGGGTATATACCCAGTAATAGGATTTCTGGGTCAAATAGTATTTCTGGTTCTAGATCCTTCAGGAATCGCCACACTCTCTTCCACAAAGGTTGAACTAATCTACACTCCCACCAACAGTGTAAAAATGTTCCTATTTCTCCAGATCATCTCCAGCATCTGTTGTTTCCTGACGTTTTAGTGATTGCCACTCTAACTGGTGTGAGATGGTATCTCATTGTGGTTTTGATTTGCCTTTCTCTAATGACCAGTG